TTGCCAGGCCTGTGCACAAGCATGCGTGTGCGCCACAAGGCAACTTAACGAGAGGCTGAGGCGCAGGCAATTGTACGCTTCACGGTACATCATGTACGCCTCCTCCAGGCGCGACTGCTCTTGGAAGGGGTCGTCAGTGTAGGGCTCAAGCAGGCTCCGCCTGCGCCGGGGACAAATTCAAGCGCACTTCACGCTTGAGGGCGCAAGCTTCGCGCCTGTGACTGCTGAAGATTGTGTAGATCTGCGTCAAGCCGAGGAAAACCGCTGCCAGCCACCTACAAGCGCGCCCAGTCAAACCTGCCTTGAGCTACAAAAAGGTTCAAGGAAAAAGTTGCCGCCGCGGTGCCAAGATTCTGGCGCATTGTCATCCTGAGCACGGTGGCTGGCCTGCTCCGCCACCCAATAAGCCATGAAGCGCGACGCTGCACCTTTCAGAATCTTCTGTGAGGCTGATGGGTACTTGTCTCGGGCCGGCACCAGCGTTTTGCTGGTGAAGAGACGGGGAGAAGCCCGGCAGCCGTGAGGCACGCCTCAAAGCAAGAACTATAAGCGCTGACAGGAGGCCATTTGTGATTTTGAGGCCCGCGCAGCAGTCCACGCACCAGCGTTTATAGTTGCGGTGAAGCTCTTGCAGCTTCAGCTCGCGGTCGCGTCCAGAGGTCCAGAGCAGAAGGGCAGACAGGATGGCATCCACAGTGCATGCCAGATCTAGAATGTGCAAGGTGTCGGGAAAGACCCCTGACAGCGCGCGATCAAGGGGCGCGGTCACGCGGCGCTGCGTGCTGCCAAACGTCTCCCGATGCTGAAGCCAGGCACGTCAAGCAGCGGGCTATGGCCATTAATGCGGCGGAAGGCCGCGTCGTCCGTCAGCCTTACATGACACAGCAGTCACATATAGAACACTTGATCTTCGAGGCAGACGCGTGGAGCGGTGCCCCGCATTGCGGCCGTAGGCGGTGTATAGCATGTCGTCCGTCCCACGGTAAACTGCTTCGCAATAGTGGCAGCATTGGTTCGCATTGTAGTGGTCTCGGGTTGGCGCGCAAGCAAGAAGCGTGAATGTGCCCGCGGCCCACTATGCCACCTAGCCACGCTTGAGCTTGAATAGTTTTCGCAGATACTCTTGATCTGCTTGCACACCGCTGAGGCAGCCGCGCCAGCCGCCCGCCAATGGTAGCCCAGCCTTCCTGGAGCGTTCTGGCTCGTAGGTGGCGTCAAATACCCTTCCCCAAGGGTCTACACCTGGGAAGAGACCAGTACCTGGCAAAACGCGCGACATAATGTGTCTATCGATCTCAACTTGTAAGACCATGACGCATTGCGTCAAAAGACCACACCAGGATCTCGAGGAATGTCTGCCGGGTCAAGACCTGTGTGCGTGCAAACAAGTGCGTTGGGTAGGGGGAGAGTGAGAGCGCCTCTGGCATGCACCAAGGAGACCAAATGCACAGCCTCAGATCGCGCACAAGCTGCGCCCTTTGAACAACATTCTGCAAGACAAGCTTCGCAATTCGGCTGTCCAGAGTTGCGCTCCGCGAGGAAGCGGCAGGCAGGAGGCACATGAGCTCGAAACTATGCCCGCCTGCGCAAAGGCAGGGGCAGCAAGCTTACAGGCGCACGCGCAGCCGCACTTGAGCCCCGATGCAGCCCCACAACACCTTGCCTTCGCCCAGGGGGCCGTTCTGGTGGGCACAGGCGTTGGTGATCGCCGACAGCTTGCCGTCATATTTGAATATGGCAACCCGTTCATCGTCCGCCAGGGTCACGACCTTGGCGCAATCGACGTCGATTTCGTCAATCTCTCCCGCGACCAGCCAGCCTTTTCCTGAAGAGAGGCTTTTGCGGTCTCGTCGCCGCGGTCCCGCCTTGCCTCCATGCGTCCGGTTGCGAAATGGAGTGCGGACACCAGTACAACGCTTGCGGCAACGACACTGGTGAAAATCGGGTCGCCGGTTCCCTGAAGCGCACCGAGTGCGACGTGAAGCACGACGAAGGTGTAGGCGGCATAGATGAACATATGCAGCGCCTTCCAGATCGGCGCGCCCAGGAAACTCAGCCAGAAATCATGGCTTGTTGCCGCCAGGACGAACAGGATCAGGAGGGCCGCGATACCGAGCGTTTCAAACGGAAATCCGAGAATCTGTCCGTAACTTGTGTTCGAAGAGAGCAACGCCACATACTGGTCGGTCGGCGAGAACGCATAGTACCAGCCAAGCACGTAGTTGGCGTGAACCGCTGCGATGCCGGCCGTCATCACGCCGAAGTGCCGACGGTTGTAGAGCAGCGGCAGGAACCGTCTGTCGAGGCGTGCCAGCGGGCCGATGCACAAGATGACAGTCAACATCAGGAAGGCGCAGCTGCCGAAGGCGCGCATACGCAGGATCGCGCCGTCAAGAGGCTTGGTCACATCCTCAAATCCGGGCGCAACACGAATGTAGATGTACAGATAAAGTGCAACCGCAATCAGCAGAACCGCATCGTAAAGGATCTTGTTCCGGTTCCAGATGACCGGTGTGTATTGCACACTCATTGAGTGGTCTCCGTACCGCTAGTGCCACCCGTGGGCGCTTCAATCAGGAAAGCCGGCCTGTCGGCAGGCGGAGACTGACGCAGGGCGAGAACAGTGAAAAGGCCAGCGGAAGCAACACCACGAGAACGGTCCAGATGCGGGCATGCGCTGTGCGGTGCGCGCGTTTCATCGCCGGTCCTCGCCATGTTTTTCAAGAACGAACCAGCGATACAGCACCAGCGGCCATATCAGGCAGATGCCCGGTATCAACAGTGGACGGAAGGCGTAGGAACCATGCGCAGAAGGCTCCACACGGTCGATGCCGATAACAAGGAACAACGCGGCAACGACACCGCCGGCCATCAGGTAGTAGCGGCCCAGTTCAATGAGAAACTCTGCAGTTTGCAATATGCGTTCTCCCTCAGTTGTCGTCTTGTCACTGCTGCCTGACTGTGCCGCGGTGACAAGACTATCTCCTATTTCCTCACACTAAATCCGCGTCTGTTACTATTTCCACAAGGGACGGGCCGTCATGGGCAATTGCAGTCCTGATTGCGTCGTTCAACTCAGCTGAATCCGTGACCCGATGGCCGTGACCGCCGCAAAGACGTGCAAAGGCGGCAAAGGAGGGGTTGGTGAGGTTGGTTTCCCAGACAGGCCATTCACCCGACCTTTGTTCCTTGGAGATTTTCCCGAGCTCTGAATTGTTGAGAAGAATATGCGTTATGTTCATGCCGTATTTGACTGCGGTCGTAAACTCCATCGCATATTGACCGAACCCGCCGTCGCCCGAGATCGAGATCACCTTTCGACCCTTGTATTCCGCGAAATCCCGGGTCGCGCACCAGGCTCCGAGCGCGGCCGGCAAGCTGAAACCGATCGAGCCCAGGTAACCGGACATCAGGATGCGCTGGCCGCGCGGTTCGAAATACCTGCCGAAGGAATAGGTGTTGTTGCCGACGTCGACCGGGATGATGGCATCGTCCGGGCAGAGCTCGGTCAAGGCCTTGAAAACGGCAGCGGAATGTATGCCGTGTCCGCTGTCTTCGGATAGTCTCGTTTCCTTTTCTTCCCGCCAGATCGCCCATCTCTCGACGAGTTCGGTCACCTGATCGACGGCATCGCCAGCCTTGTCCACCCTGGTTGCTATTTCATCGCAGAATGTGCCGATTTCCCCCCAGACCGGCAATGTTACCGGATGGAACTTGCCGAGCTGCATGCGCTCGAAATCCACCTGGATGATGGGCTTGTAGGGTGCGATCCCGGTGTGATTTGCAAAGGACGATCCGAGCGAGATGATCAGATCAGCTTCGTTCATGAACCAGCTTGCGATGGGAGTCCCGGAGCGCCCGAGCACTCCGGCGGCAAGCGGATGCGTGTCCGGAATGAGACCCTTGCCCTTGAAAGTGGTCATGACCGGCGCGCCGATTTTTTCCGCCAGTGCGATCACTTTCTCACGGACATCCTTGGCGCCGTAACCGAGAACGATCGTTGGCCTCTTTGCGCCGTTTATCAATTCGGCGGCTTTGGCGAGATCGCCTGCGGAAGGCGAAACTTCAGTTCCACCCATGCGCCCTTCCGGATGCCCCGCTTCCTTTTGGCTCGGGTTCGTCTGGACATCGTCAGGAAAGATCAGGTTGGCAACATCGCGCTCAACGATGGCCGTCTTGAGCGCCAGCGACATGAGTTCCGCGTGGTTGGATGTGCTCAGCACCGGCTGGGAAAAGCGGGAGACGGCTTCGAAGGCAGATTTCAGATCGATATCCTGAAATGCTCCGGGGCCGAAGACCTGGGTCTGAACCTGACCTGTGAGCGCCAGAACAGGCGCCCGGTCGACCTTTGCGTCCCAAAGACCCGTCATGAGATTTGTTGCACCGGGGCCGGCGATGGTCAGGCAGGCCGCAGGCTTGCCGGTCAGCTTGCCGTAGGCAGACGCTGCAAAGGCAGCGGCACCTTCGTGACGGATGCCGACATAGTCCAGATTGCCCTTGTTGACCTGCAACCGGATCGCATCCGCCAAACCGAGATTGGAGTGACCGACCATGCCGAAGACGCGTTTCACACCCCAGTTGACCATTGTCTCGGCCATGACGTCCGTTACCGTGCGCTCGTGCTCCGGTTCGGCCTCGAGGCCGACGAAGATTTCACCGTCCTCGATCTTGAGTGGATAAAGGTCCTGGCCACTGTCTTCGTGGCCGCCTGGTGGTTTACCGGTCAGCGGGTCGAAATCCCAACCGTGCCAGGGACAGCGGATCCAGCACTTGCCGTCGCTTCCCTTTTCAATCGACCCTTCTCCGAGGGGACCTCGCTGGTGTGGACAGTGATTGTCCATGGCCGCCCACTGCCCGTCGAAATGAGACAGGCAGATCGAGGTAGTGCGTGCGGTGACGGTTCTCACACGGCCTTCCGGCAATTCGTCGATGTGTCCGACCTTGATCCAGTCAAGCGGTTCAGCAGTCATGATTTTCTCCCTCAAAACGTCCCGGTTAGGTCAGGCAATGCCGCCATAGGCAACGCCGGACAAGTCCGACATTTCGCGCTTCCAGGTTGTCAGATCATCCGGACAGAACTCGTTCAGATGCGAATAGCCGCAGGCCCTGGCCATCACCTGCATCAATTCAACCGAGGCTTCGAAGAAGTTGGTAAGCTGGCGTGCCGATTTTTCGATCTGCAGACGGCTGACCAGATGTGGTTTCTGGGTGGCGATACCCACCGGGCAGTTGTTGGTGTGACAGGCACGCATGGCGATGCAGCCGATGGCCTGCATGGCCGAATTCGAAATGGCAATTGCGTCTGCTCCCAGTGCAAGAGCCTTTACAAAGTCAGCCGGCTTTCGCAGACCACCGGTTATCACCAGGCTGATGTCATTTCGACCGAGTTTGTCGAGGTGACGTCGGGCGCGGGCAAGTGCCGGGATGGTGGGGACGGAGATGTTGTCCCGGAAGATGATCGGTGCTGCGCCCGTGCCACCGCCGCGCCCATCCAGAATAATGTAGTCGACGCCGACCTCCAGTGCCGCATCGATATCCTTTTCGATATGCTGGGCGGATAGCTTGTAGCCGATTGGAATACCTCCTGTTCGGGTGCGCACTTCATCAGCGAATTCCCTGATCTGCGCATTTTCCGTCCAGTCCGGAAAACGTGGCGGCGAGATCGCGTCTGTACCTTCCTTCAATCCACGCACCTCGGCGATCTTGCCCTTGACCTTTGCGCCCGGCAGATGACCGCCGGTTCCCGTCTTGGCGCCCTGACCACCCTTGAAGTGGAATGCCTGAACATTGTCGAGCTTGGCCCAGTCAAAGCCAAAGCGCGCGGATGCCAGCTCGTAGAAGTAACGGGAATTGGCTTCCTGTTCTTCAGGCAACATGCCGCCTTCACCTGAACAGATGCCGGTCCCCGCAAGTTCCGCTCCACGGGCGAGCGCGACCTTGGCAGGCTCGGACAGGGCGCCGTAGCTCATGTCCGATACAAAAAGAGGGATCTTCAGACGAAGGGGCTTTTGCGCATTCGGTCCGATCACGACATCGGTGCCGACCGGGTCCTCGTCCAGGAGGGGAAAACGCTGCAGCTGGGCCGTCAGGATCTGAATGTCGTCCCAGTCGGGCAACTGGTTGCGTGGCACACCCATGGCGTCAACCCGGCCGTGATGGCCGGTCTTGGTCAGTCCATCGCGCGCGTATTGCTGGATCAGGCCGTTATACGGTTCTTCTTCCGTGCCATGACTGGTATCGGCATAAAGGCCGAGGTACTGATCGCGCTGGAACGGCTGCGGGTTCTGTTGTGCCCAGGCGGCAATCTCGTCTTCGTCGACAAGAACTTCATCGCCTTCAACCCAGCTCTGGAACTTTGGAAGCGCTTCGGAATTGTTGTATTCCGAGACCCCGCTGTCGACCTTGTAGTCCCAATAGTGAACGCCGCAGATCAGATTGTCTCCCTGCACATAGCCATCGGACATCAGCGCGCCGCGGTGCAGACACCGGCCGTAGAAGACGGAGATCTCGTCGTCGAACCGGACAATCACGAGATCAACATCGGCGACCAGTGCATATTGCGGATCCCGGTCCGGCAATTCGCTCAAGGTGGCAACAACTTGTTTTTTCATTTCTTCCCCCGGCTATCGGCTTCGGACATGTCCTGAAACCCTGGCTGAAACATTGTAGGTGCGATGGGTCTAGGCTGGATCGGCAGGGTCCTCCGGTCGCATGGGCGGGACTGCTGCCATTTCAGCTGCGCCCTCCTGATCCGACATGCGGGCCCCGTACCATCTGGCGAAAGGAACTGCCGTGACACCGTGCAGAACGGCACTGATCCAGACAGCGTTCACGGCGAGGTTCAATAAATATTCGCCGATCTCGTGATCTATCTGGTCGACGATCAGGAGTGCGAAGAGGGCAGTCGCAAGGCCCCGTGGCCCGAACCAGCCGAAAAAGAGTTTCGTGAGCGGTGCGGCATCGGTTCCGGACAACGATATCCAGACGGCAAGCGGGCGCACCACGAAAAGACTGATCAGAATGATAGCCAAACTGGACGCGTCGAGATGCGCGAGGGCTTCCGGTAACACTGCAAGTCCGATCAGGAAAAATGCGCCCCAGGACAGCATCTGCCCTTCGCTTTCGGTGAATTCATAGATGAAGGCGCATTGACCCTTGATGACATTGCCGAAACACAGACCGGCGATGAAAGCTGAAATGAAGCCGTTGCCGTCTACCATTCCGGCAGAAAGATAGGCCGCGCCCGCCATCGCAATAGCGCCGATGCCTTCGATAGTCGCAGATGTCATCTTGCGTCGTTTTGCAGCGAGGAAAAGTATGCCGCCGACTGTCCCCATGACCCCACCGACGAGTGGTCCGAAGACAAGTTGCTTGGCTCCGAACAGCAGCCAGTTTGTTGCATCCTGATGCATCACTTCCGCTGTCAGGCTGGCGAAGAGCAGGATTACCGGCAGCGCAAGGCCGTCATTCAGTCCGCTTTCGAGCGTAAGCGCACGCCGCACCCGCTCCGGCACGGCCTCGTTGGTGACGACCGCCTGTCCCAGAGCCGCATCCGTCGGTGCGAGCAGCGCTGCCGCGAGTGCCGCGACAATCAGTGGATAAGTCGTCATGAAGGGCGCTGCTGCGGCCGTTCCGAGAAGGACGGCCAGTGGCAGGCCGATCAGCAGCATTCTGAAAGGCCACTGATGACGCTTCCTGAGTGCTTTCAGGTTGATCTGGGCGGCATCCAGGAACAGCAGAATGATCAGGGCAAGTTCAGCGACGATATGGAGGAGATGCTCTGCCTCCGCAAGCGGCATCATTCCGGTCATCGCCATCAGATAACCAAAACCTATGAACAGGATTGGTGCCGTCAGAATTCCGTTGTTCAGTTTTTTTGCCAGCAGCGTGTAGCAGACCGTAAACATCGCCAGCATCAATAGACCGGTGGCCATTACGTTCTCTCTCCCGAAGCCCACGGCACCATAAGTGCGGGCCACCTCACGCACTTTCAAATCATAAGCAGATGACACTCCCGTGTGGCAATTGTGAATTTACCGGAGAAGGAAAATGTGATCACCGCGATCGATTGGTGTTGTCACCGAATCAATGCCCTTTTGTGCTGCACTCCGGTCAGTTGCAGCAGGATCCGCTCGGCATCTTGTGGCCGGGCCGCGATTTCGAGGATCAGTTTTTTGCGCACGGCGTCGGCGAAGGTTTCGGCGCTGTCCGCCGTCACGACGAATGCTGCAGGTCCACCGATTATCTCGTCGTAAAATCTCTGTTCCAGATCGTAGGACACAGGCCGGCCGGAACAATGCCGGCATAGGACAGCGAGGCCGTTGATAACAATGCCGGCGGAAACGACAATGTCCCTGGCTCCGCGGATCGGCGGTCCATTCCAGTTATTGGCGCTGTCCGCGGACAAATCGATAACCCGCCGCAAGCCCTGATAGGAATTTGTGTCGATGAGTTCCTTGCCCTTCAGCAGGGCTGCTCCAATGGCATTGCGTCCGTAGGCCTGGCGTGGCGCCTCCATCAGCTTTGCGGCGAATGCCTGCGCGGAAACCGGGCCATCGATCACCGTCCAGTCGACGACGACATCCTGCGAAAGCTGGTCGGCCCATTCGACATAGGTTACGACAATCTTGCCGTAAGCGTTGCTGGCGATTGCGTTGAGAACTGACGGATCCGTGATCGCCTCGGCATATCCGGCGCGCTGAAACCGGATTTCGGCCTCGTCAATCGATCCGGTGGCATCGGCAAGCAGAACGAGTTCGAGGTCGAGTTCTTCGGATATTGCCGGATTTACCAAGAGCAGGAACAAGGCGACGAAGGCAATTGCGATTCTCATAATACCGCTCCCCACAGTGCAGACACCTGGAGGTAGCTAGGGCAGGTGAAGGAAAAGGAAAAAGAATTGAGTCGGCTGGGCGCCGGAATTGACACTGATATTGCCACAACCTCTCTTTCAGACCGTGTCGAAAAAAGAAACCCGCCCGTTAAGGGCGGGGTGAGGTTGAACCTTCCGGGAGGAGAAGGAGAGTGTCAGGCCACTGCGCGCGCCAGTGCGCACTGCGACCACAGATCATTGATCGAATCGGCAAGATGCTCGATATCCGCAGCCGTGTGTAGCGGTGTCGGCGTGAAGCGCAGCCGTTCCGTGCCGACCGGGACGGTCGGATAGTTGATCGGCTGAACGTAGATGCCGTAGGTCTCCAGCAGGATGTCGGAGATCCATTTGCACTTCTTGGCGTCGCCTACCATCACAGGGACGATGTGGCTCGGGTTTTCCATATGCGGAATGCCGCGCTTGTCGAGTGCCGCGCGAACCTGAGCGACCCGGTCCTTGTGTGCCTTGCGCTCGAACGGGCTGTTCTTCAGATGCTTGATGGATTCGGTCGCACCTGCTGCAAGAGCCGGCGGAAGCGCCGTGGTGAAGATGAAGCCGGAGGCGAAGGAGCGGACGAAATCAACAACAGTCTTGCTGCCGGTGATGTAGCCTCCCATGACGCCAAAAGCCTTGCCAAGCGTGCCTTCGATAACGGTCAACCTGTCCATCAGGTCTTCGCGTTCGGCGACACCGCCGCCGCGCGGACCGTACATGCCGACTGCATGAACCTCGTCGAGATAGGTCAGGGCACCGAACTTGTCGGCGACGTCGCAGATTTCCCTGATCGGAGCGATATCGCCGTCCATAGAATAGACGCTTTCGAAAGCGACCATCTTCGGAGCGGCCGGATCGTCTGCTGCCATCAGTCGCTCGAGATCTTCATAGTCGTTGTGCTTGAAGACCCGCTTTTCGCATCGGGAATGGCGGATGCCTTCGATCATGGACGCGTGGTTCAGGCTGTCCGAGTAGACGATCATGCCCGGAACCTGGGACGCGAGCGTTCCAAGAGCAGCCCAGTTTGAAACATAGCCGGATGTGAAGATCAGTGCAGCTTCCTTGGCGTGGAGATCTGCAAGTTCACGCTCAAGAAGCACGTGATAGTGGTTGGTGCCTGAAATGTTGCGCGTACCACCGGCGCCTGCACCGCATTTGGTGATGACATCCTGCATCGCACCGACGACTTTGTCGTGCTGACCCATGCCGAGGTAATCGTTGGAACACCAGACAGTCACGTCCTGTACGGATCCGTCTTCGCGGTAACGGGATGCGCGCGGGAAGTCACCTGCGTGTCGTTCGAGATCGGCAAACACCCGGTAGTTGCCATTGTCATGAAGTTTGCTCAGGCGTTCTTCGAGATACGCATTCACATCCATGATACCGGTCCTCATATTCGCCGGCTTCTCGTGGCCAGCGCCTCTCCTGGTAACCCGCCTGAGATCGCGTCACAGCGGTTTCGTGCTTCAGGTCCCGTTTCCTCTGGAGTCAGACTAGCAGGTACCTTTAAACTATTCAAAACTGCATAATCAGACTAATTGCCTTGATCAAGGTCAAATCCTGTTGATGCGTCCAAACGTCATAGAGTCGTTGATCGAGAGCTGCAGGTTCGATCAGCAATTGCGGTCGAATGTCCAGCTTTCCTGAAATCAATGTTTTCAATTACTTGAAGAAGGCTATTGCTTTCGCAAAACAAACATGAATACTGATTCATGTTTCATGAATTTGGAGAACAGACGTGAACAGGCCGATCGGAAAAACAGACGCGTCGCAAAAGACTCCGGTCAACCAGCCGAAAACCGCACGGGGCGAGGCGACCAGAAAGGCGATTCTCGGTGCCGCCGAACGTGTCATTGGCGCCAAGGGCTACAGCGATGCCTCCATCGGTCACATTACCAGCGAGGCCGGTGTCGCCCAAGGCACTTTCTACATCTACTTCAAAACCAAGGAAGAGGTCTTTTCCGAACTGGTTCTGGAGATGGGCCGGCTTGTCCGCCACACAATTTCCGAGGCAACACAGGGCATCGAGAACAGGCTGGAAGCGGAAAAGGCCGGTTTGCGAGCATTTCTGGAATTCGTAAAGGCTCATCCCGACCTCTACCGGATCGTTCAGGAAGCCTTGTTCGTAGACCCCGATGCCTACCGCGAGTATTACGGTGCATTTGCCGACGGGTACCGAACGGGCCTTACGGAAGCCGAAGCCGCCGGTCAGATTTCAATCGGTGACCCGGATACACGCGCCTGGGCGCTCATGGGGATCGCAAGAGCACTTGGTGAACAGCTCGTGGTCTTTAACTCCGAAACACCAATTTCCGAACTGGTTGCCAGCGCCTACGACCTGATTGAAAACGGGATCAAGCCGTGAATGACAGGCCACGACTTGTCGAGACAGAAGAAAGAGCCGGCGCTCTTTGGGTCTGGCTGAACAGGCCGGAGCGCCACAACGCGCTGGTCCCCGACTTGTTGTTCGATCTTCAGGACGCAATTGCCGAGGCAACGTCGTGTGCACCTGTCCCCCTTGTGATTTCAGGGCGCGGGGCGAGCTTTTCGACCGGGGGCGATATTGCCGCATTCCTCCGGCATTCCGGTTCGAAGCAGGAGTTGCTTGACTATTCTGAATTCCTGGTAGGTGCGCTGCATTCGGTCATTCTTGACCTTCTGAGTTTCCCGGCGCCCGTCCTGGCGGCGGTGAACGGTCCTGTGACAGGCGGATCAACCGGATTGCTTTTGGCGGCCGATATGAAC